CTCGCTGTAACTTACTGTCCCCTCTCCCCTCCCCGCCTCCCCCCCCCTTATTCACATGCCACGTTTGTATGAAAATACGAACCTAAGACGAGTGCTCTTATCGTTCAGACATTTCAGCTTGTGCCTTGTTCCCATATAAATGTACAGGCCCGATGAGAATTTATCGACAGCACGCGCATGCTCGCCAAATACTTTTCTGAATTCTGTTTCCATTCCCACCCCTCCCTCCACCCTTTCTTCCTTCCCCTTCACTCTCATTCTCACTTCCCCCCTTCAACTTCACCTTCACTACGGAGAAGGTGACATTGTAACGACCGATTGTTTTAAACTGACCTTTTTGCTTCCTGCCCTCCCTTTTCAGAATTTGGGTCACGTGGACACGAGCCGCCGCCTATCGACGAACTCGCCGCTAAGTCCCTATTCCTTACTGTTTACATACCCCTGAACTGATCATTCGTTATACGTATCGTTTATTTCGTAACTAATCACCCTTTTCCGCTATTCTCGTTTATCGGTTTACCAAACTAAGTCGCATTCGCGCATTTGTTTATTGCCTTGTACATACTGTTTCTATCTTTAGAGTAGTCTATCCTAAATCTATTTTTCTACCGGTCCCGATAACATTTCGTTAATAAACCTTTATGTCCAGTTCAACCATTGCTATTATGTCTACGCCGTCTCTATCCTTTGCCAGCGTGTATGACGGGGTAACCCAACTTTTAGAGGAGTTTTCCCTGGCTTCCCATCCGAAAGATCCCAAGCCGTAGTGTTCAGCGTCAGGCCATCACGAGCCTTCCAGAGTCCTCCCCCCCCCCTACTCGGTCGCTACAACATAAAGTCGCGTAGGCAGCCCAGGCAAACTCGGATCACTCTTCCACTAAACAAAGTCGTGGCCCACGGGGGATTACGACAGCTATCTGTAATATCCGAATTTAGGAACAGCACTGCTTACTCTCACGCGGGAAAGGGACAGAGAATGCTCTTTAGGCGAATGCTAGGAAATCACGCCATTTTCAAGCTGATAGACGCGCATTCGAAGCAGTCGAGTAGACAACAACACTTGTTTCCACGCCCTCCGGCGCGTCCAACAGGCTGTTAAAGTGGCCGTTCACTCTGGCAGTCTGGAACGACCGTTCTCTTTCAGACAGTCTGCTGAGCTACCGGCAGGGAAAGCGAACAGAGCTGGTCGCTTGAGGGCTGGAACGGTGCAAGGTGGCATCACTGCCCTCAGCGAGGCCTTATTCTCGGAAGGAGGTCAACAGGAGGTGGGTGCCGGCCATACCTTATGGAGCGGCCGTCCAAAGGCAGAGCGACGCGACGCTGGCGTCGCCTTTGTGATCCGCAACGACACCGTGGGGCGACTGCCCTGTCTCCCTCAGAGCATCAGCGATCGTCTCATGACCCTCGCCTGTTTCTTCGGGCTGCCCGATTCGCCGCCGCCGTCAACGCCTGTGCTCCCACCTATGACCAACTCCGATGACGTGAGGATCAAGTCCTGCGAAGCCTTACACGTCCACCTGGCGACTGTGTCATAGGCGACAAACTTAATTTTCTTGGTGACTTCAATGTCGGCGTCGGGATAGACCACGTTGGCGGGGGAAAGTGCTGAGTCCCCATGGAACTGACGAAGGCGACGACAATGGCCTCCTCCTTCTGTGAGCCTGTGAAGAGCACCACATGCTCTTGACCAGTGCATTTTTCCGCTTTTCGATGAGGGAAAAGACAATGTGAATGTACATCCGTCCGCGCAACCGGCAGCTGTTGGTGATAAAAGCGATCTGCGATGCCGACTGCTGGACGAACCACCGTCTCGTCATCTCTAAGATGAGGCTCCGACTACAGCCTCATAGGAGACCACAAGGTAAGCGACAGCCGAGTAAGTTAGACAGTGTCCTTCTGAGTGAGTTTAATCACGGCCCAGATTTCAAAAATCAACTGACTCACCGTCTTGTAGAGATGCAGACTCCGGAACACGACGCCATGGTGGAGTCACAACGGTGTCAACTGGGGACGCAATCCATTATACTACCGTGGGTGTTCTTAGTCACGCACGCTGTCAACATGAGGATCGGTTTGACGACAACGACGAAGAAATCCACGGCCTGCCCGCTGAGAAGAATAGGCTGTACTTATCCTCCATCAACCGCTGTTCCCACGCATATAAAACAACTTTCTCCCGCCGTCGACGTCTGGTGCAACGACTGTGCGAAATGCGAAACACTTGAATGGATAAAAAAGCTCTATAAATACAAGGCCACGTATATCGCAATGATATGAATAACTTTTTTCGCTTCAGTCAGGGCAGTCTACGGTCCCCTATGCCAGAGAAACTCCGACGTTAATCAGCTCCAACGGACAGGCGCTTCTAAAAGGGAAATCACAAATTCTAAGCGCTGTGTCGAGCAATTTAGAAGAGCAATCAATCGC